GTGCAGAGTCCTTGGTGCTCCTTCCCTAGCAGACACTTTGCCTACGTCTCTCCTCCCATCCACCCGAGCTGCCCTGGAGAGGTGAGCTGAGACTTCTCTCTTCCCTCACAGAGGACTGAAGGATTTGGAGCCCATTCATAGCTTCAAGATCATACCCTACCCTCTTATAAGGGTATAGATATTTGCAGTAGGAGAAACTGTCTATAATCTAAGTTTAGAGATATTCTCTGCATTCTCCTTCTGTCCCCAAACCCATCTATAGCTCTTGGTGCCTGAACTCCACTACCCTGAGCTTTACTCTAAGGTTCCTAGCCAGGCATCTTCTGAAACTTTTGTGCCGAGTGATTAACTCATACTGCATTATTCTCAGAGGGCAGTGGATAAAAGGTAGAGGAAAAAGGAGAGAGCTTTTGGTTGGGAAACTGAAAGCCGGAAGACAGTATGGAAAAAGGGCCACCACAGAGCTTAAATGTCCCTCTTCATCACCACTCTCTTGATTGCTATTTATTCAGTGCCTGTCTAGCTCCAGGGTCCTGAACATGAATTTTAAATGTCTGCACATTTTTTTTCTATGCAACAGATGTGAAAACAGGGTATGAAGAAGTGAACTAAATGCAAAGCTGGTAAATGGAAAAGTTGATATCAAAACTCAGCTACTACATGTTCACTTATCTAAATTTATTCTACACTGAAAAATGCAGCACATCACACCTTCTTCCTCAGTTAGTTTATTTATCTATGCAATCATTATTAATTGGCTAGAACTAGAGCTGGTAATATCTAAGTCCTATTCTAGGGCTCTATGCCCGGTGAATTGTCTAAGTATTGAGGTCAAAATGAGAAGAAAAACAGACAATTGTGGGAGCACATAGTTTATTGGGGGAGAAAGATACTAATCAAATAACTAAACACATATAATAACTCACCAAGATTCTGAAGTGTGATAAGAGTTATGAAGAGGAGTATGTGTGGCGATGTAGAATAGGGATGTACAACCATGAGCAGAAAAGAAATGCAGAGAGTAATAGGAAGATGACAAGTCCCCAGGGATCGATGATGCTGTGTGCCATTCATGGGAAGGAAAACTGAATTCTTATTTCACAGGATAAGGGAAGCCCTTGGAAGATTTTCAGTAGGAGCATAACACCATTTTATTTCTATTATAAACAATTTGGCTGCTTTGTGGAGAACAGATTAGGAAGGGCATGACACTAAGCTGGATGATCGACAAGGGATGTCCTGCAGACATCCTGGTTAATGATGCCAAGGGATCAGTTACAAGTGGAAGAGGAGCCAGAGCTGAGTATATTTTGGAAAGGTGGTAAAAGATTCATTAGATCTGGGAATGGGGGAGGATGAGAGAAGATGCCTCCTAGAGTTGTCTGGCTTAAGCACACAGATAGATGGTGGTAGACTTTAATGAGATAGTAAATATAGGAGAGAATTCAGCATGGTGCGTAACAGCAAGTTCAACTTGCATTTGTTACATTTGAGAAGCTGATGAGCTATTACAAATGGTAGTCCAACAGGGAGTTGGATGCTTGAGCCCACAGCTAGAAGAGAAGTCTGAGCCACAGACATAAATTTGGGATCATTCCCATGCAGAGGAGAGATAAGAAGGACATTATGAGTAGAAAATAATTTTGAAGATAACAGTTATGAAAGAGAGTAGAGAAATGAGTGATTACTAGGACAGTATGTGAGGGCAATAGAAAGGGTTTTGTTGATGGTGTTAGTTTGTTTACCACAATAGCAGATCCTGAACTGATCCTCAGTATGGAAGAAGTTGGTGTGGGGTGGAATACGTCTGAAACTGGTAGGAGTGACCCAGAGCCCTGCTTCTCAAGCTTGGCCGCCTATTGGGAGGGAAATGTAAAAGCAATACTGATTCTGTGTCACACTGCCAGACACGCTGATTTGACTGGTATGAGTGTGGCCCAGGCAAAGGAGTTTAGTTCCTCTAAAGAAGTTAATATACAGCACAGTTTGAGAATCATTAATCTAAACAGAGAAAAAAACAAGGCAGTACAGGAGAGGAAACCCAAGAGGAATCAGGAGTGCAGGAGCATGAACTTCCGGACCTTTGGTGAGTAAGGGAGGGGCTCAGGCAATGAAGGCAGGCCGAGGAGGCTCAGTGACTGACGCCTGAGTGCGGGCGAGAGAGGGGACCCTCAGAGATGAAAAAGCCATCGTTTGCACAACAGGAAGCACATTAGTCAGTGGAGTCGGTGGACAGTACGAAGGAAAGACCCATGGAAGACATTCTATACCCCACTTCTTGAAGAAGGTGGTGGCTAAGACCTGGTAGGGAGAAAGAGCAAAATCTTTCACATTCATTGGAGAAAGGTTTGATTTTCCTGTAATAAATACAGATATAGGAAAAACAAGGGATAATGTCCAGAAAAAGAATCATAGGATTTTTCTCAGGGAAGGATTTGGAGCCCAAGACTCATCTGTGGATGTGGTCAGACTGCAGAAGGCCTGAGATGAACCAGTGTCCCCTAGCCTGCACCTTCCTGACTCTTTCATGATCTTTAGTATGGAGTCTAAGTATCATTGTCCCCTCTACCCTGAGGTCAGTGATCACCTGGTCTTTGTGTCTTCCACTATGTGATCATACTTCACCAAAACCACTTGGGGACCCTCTTGGAGAGTTTTGGGATGAATATCTCTCATGCTGCCAGCTTCACACTAACTGCAGGCCTGGAGCCCTGTCTAACTGCCCTGCTCTTGCTGCTTTATGCTGTGTCCATCCTAGGCAACATCCCAATCCTCTTCATCATAAAGGAGGAGCATAGCCTGCACCAGCCAATGTACTATTTCCTGTCTCTGCAGTCTGTCAATGACCTGGGTGTGTCCTTTTCTACGTTGCCCACTTACTGGCAGCCTTGTGCTTTCCATGCCCTGGGAACTGCCTTTGATGCCTGTCTGACCCAGATGTTCTTCACCCACTTTATCTCCTGGACAGAGTGTGGGATTCTGCTTACCATGAGTTTTGACCAGTATGTGGCCACCTATAATCCCCTGCAGTTCTTACTGAGAGTCACGTGGCTTATATGGGCATATACACCATCACCTGCAGCTTCTGCATGGTCTTCCCACTGCCTTTTCTTCTGAAGAGCCTGCCCTTCTATAAAGCCAATGTGCTAGTCCATCCCTACTGCTTACATCTCTACTGATCCCCCTGCTCTGTGGCGATACCAGCATCAACAGCATGTATGGACTGTTCATTGTCATCTCTGCCTTTGGAGGATGAGGAGAAGGCTCATCCTCCTCTCCTACTTGCTCATACTGCATTCTGTGCTGACCATCGCCTTCCAGGAGGAACAGTTTAAGACACTCAACATGTGCGCGCCACACATCTGTGTTGTGCTCATCTTCTATGTGCCCATAGTTGGTGTGCCTATGGTTCATCAATTTGGGATGTACGCCCCCGAGTTTGTGTACAAGTTCACATCCCTGGTATATTTCTTTGTGCCTCCAATGTACAACCCAATTATCTATTCCATCAAGACTAAGATTAGTAGGAGGCTTCACAAGATGTTGTTTGGACATAAGCACTAATTAGAAGGGACCACGTGGAAAGTCAGGTACCTTAGGAGCTTGCTGTTACTGTTGATTTTGGGGTATATGAGGCTTGTCTGGAGTGTTTCGATCTCCTTCTATAAACTGACCTGCAATTGGGCACCTGCCATTAGTTGTATGGGATGGCCAGACTATAACCTATTAACTCAAAACCTCACACTGCCTTACAGTGCAATTAACTATGCTGCAGGTTGCCATAAACGAGTTTTCTCAGACCTAATGAGGAACAATCTTCAATTAGTCCCTCTTATTTGTCCACGTATACTAGTGACATCTATGCTTTCAAGTAAGTCCCCAAAACAGACAAAACTAGTGCAAGTATATAAACCATGGTATGACTGGGGATTATGTTACTTGAAATCATAGGTATCATAAGATACTTTTGAAAGGAATACTTCTGAATATCTAAAAATTAGGTACACAGTAGCTGTGACCAACTTTTCCCTTTTGAAGTAAGAGGATTCCTGAGTCCTTCAAAATGGAACATACACGCTTGCCATTCTGACTATGCGGTGAAACCCATGTAACACCTGAAATCCTGAAGTTTAAAACAAGGAGAAAAGTATTCTGGAAAAATATCCTATGTTGCCATGTCCTGGGTGTGACTGAGGGGAGGATTAACTTTCTTCTAGGGAGCTAGCAGGCACTCTAAGTGGAAGCTTATAGACACTAGTGACTGATGGTGGAGGAAGTCTGATTCAGAGGCAATGGCAGTTTGGTCCATGATTTTCTGGAACATGGACTTTCATGGCCTGTAGTCAGCACCCAAGCCCAGAGGCTTCAGCACACCCCAGAGCAGAGGAGAGGTAGCTGAAGAGTATCAGGAAATTCACATCCCTGGGGAGTAACAGCTACTAAGATAGGAATCCTCTGCAAATTCATTCAAAGCACACACAACTCAGACCACACAGGCATGTGGAAGCTTAGCAGAGATAAACACAATGGTGTGGGGACCTTCCTGGCCAGTGGCATAATTTAAGTTTGCTGGATGATGGGAGAAAGCAGACTCCAGGGCAAAACACTGTAATTTTTCTAAGAACGATCCCTTTCTGTGTTTTTTTTCCTTCTCAAAGGATCGTGAAATAACTTTTCTAAAAGAAAGCTGTAAGGATTGAGCGACATGATGTCCTGTATATAACAGCACTATGAAATCTCCTCCAAACCCCTTCTGAATGCCAAATTAACCAACCATAACAAAAACCGCACCCCAAAAACAGAATAAAAACCTAGAGATAACATTTTCAACAATATTAGGTGACAGGGAAATCTCAAGTGTTCTAGGACAAAGTAGGTATAGCTAAACCGCCAGGTTAGAAACTCAGTGGTAGGGAAGCGTGCAGTGGAGGGGAATAATAAATCTTACTCCAACAAGAAATGAAGACAAAGCAAAAGAAAAAAAAGTCGTAAATACTCACCCCCACTACTCTTAGCAGAAACCTGGGCAGATGGCTTTGAGAATGACAGGTGAAGCTGGGAACAATCCTGATAAGGGCCATGTCCTTGTGCACCTAAGAAGATCATGGAGCGCTGTGGAGGTCTGCCATTTGAGAACCTCAGGATTGTTCAGCAAATAAGCTTGTACAAATGGATTTAACTTCATCCTGAAAAATACCACATAAAACGGATACAGATCAGTTGAGTAAAAGAAGTTGCTGATGACAGATAAAAAGGCTATAGAGGAAGCCAGTGCAGAAAGCACAGTGGCAGCTAAATAAAATTTCTCAGAGTATCCTCAGAAGACAGGCCTGTAGAGCTCAAAGGCGAGAGCAGAGGGAGGGAGCTAAACCTCCTCTAGAAATGGCTTAGCTCCCGGATACAGAAGCGGCCTCAAAAAGAGGTGTTACTTTGAGCTGTTTGCACAACAGAGGGAGCTCTGGAACCGCAAAGCTGCAAGAACTACCCTGCCAACCCCTCCCAGTCCAGAGAATCTTCCTCCCAGTCACCGTGGAAAAGCATCCTTCTTCACATATGGGGATGAAGAGTGCACATAAGCTAACTCTATAAACAGTTATGAGCAAAAATGAAATTTAAAAAGTCAAGGACAAAGATTAGCCTATGGAACTTAGGGTCATGCTTACAATGAGAAAATGGGATTGGTCTTTCTTTACTTTTTTTAAAAATCTTTTTATTACCTAATGTTTCAGTAATCTATTTCCGAATATCAGAAATCACATGGCAGACATATTTCCAAGTATTTTTTAGGCTTCTCTTCATCTCTTAATCTCAGCTACAGAACTGAAAAGTCAGAGAAGCAGGTATGAGGTTGGAAAGAGAGAGTAAAAAGTCACAGAAGCAGGTATGAGGATGGGAAGAGTGAGTACCTCCATAACACTGAAAGTATTTCTATCATCATTTTGTGCAATAATCCCTTGTTTATTCACTTAGCAAACCCACATGGAATGCCTTGCACTGGCCAAGCTCTGTGCTAAGCATGGGATGTGGAAATGACTTGAGCCTGGTTCCTGATAATGAAAGCATGTGACCTTGGGAGATGTACCCTTGTGTGTGTCTCAATAGTTGAATACAGATGTGCTGAACTAAGTTATGAATAAATAAGGAGTCACTGCACAGAACAGTGACAGCAATCTCTTTGAGCGTTATAGAAGTACCCACTTTCCAGCTGAAATGCAAGCACATGTGTGCATACACGCACACAGCCTGTTTATACTGACTATAAATTATAGAGAAATTTGTTGAGACACGGAATTAAAACTATTTCCTTGATATAGAAAAAATAATCCATTGTGTGTGTGCATTTTCCAGCTTCATAATAAATATTGACCCATTCTCTAATAGACTTGACAAAAAAAGCTTTTTTTCTGAAATTCTATTTGTTCAAACTAGTAAAATAAATATTTAAATAATGTACTGACATCTAAGTAAATGATAAATTTTTAGAAGCCTGTTTATAATATTTTTGTGTCAACTAAAGGCTGACAGGTTTAAAAAATTATACTGAGAATACATCAGGATTGATTTAAAAATAGTGCCCAGTTGTGCAGTCTATACCCGAGTTGTGTCTTATTACTGTCTTTTGCCCTAATAATCATACACTTGTTTTTCTGCATTATTTGTAAAAACATTCTTGTAGATATTTGGATCCCGAATGTTGAACAGTATTTCCTGTTGAATGCAACCATTAATCTGTATACCTTGCTGAATAACTGACATGGGGCTTATTTCCAATCTAGTGTCTGTAACCCAATTTTACAGTTTTGAATATATCTGTTGAGCAGGAATTGCTTTGAGTTTCAGATTTATTTTACTTGCCTCTTTCATACTGAGTCAAAGATATGTTTATTAAGTAGCTGACTCTCAAGTGTTTGTGTTAAAATCCACAATAGATTTTGTTTTCCCAATGTCCTGACAAATATAGAAAAGACCACACAGCACTGTCACTTATAAGCTGTTTAGCATTTACACAGGAGTTTGTCTCAGTCAGAGACATTGGGCTTGACTATTGAGACAAATAATTAAAGCTGACTCAGAGCCATTGTTGCTTATTGTCTGCCTTTCATTGTAACAATACACATTGTCACTCAGGAAGCTTACTGACCGCTGTGTGAAATAAGGGATATTTGTGTTACATGCATAATCTTGTGCTTCCAGGCCTTTGTTCTACTCTGACACAGTTTGCATGCACATTTACTATGTTTCCACCAGAGAACTCCTCCACCACACGGCAGCCATTCAAAATGTGGTGTAGCTTGGGAAGGGAGTATTTAAAAGGAATATGTAGTCAGTAAACACATCCCAGGAGACTTTGGCATGTCTCGTCCATCTCTCTTCAGCTAGTTTCTCTCACAAACCCTAGTAACTAATTTCATAACCACTGAGCTCTCAAAACTAACAGCATGCCTGCCACATTGTAGTTTCAATAAACACTGTTGAATGTATAAATAAAATGAATGAGCTGTTTTGCTTTACAGGCAAACGAACTAAAAGCAAAACTTGTAAAGAAAATCGTTTGCAACCTGAATTATATCCACTCCCTCCAAACATCTCCACGTGTTTTTAAACCTGGGGTCAAGTAAAAGACAGTGACCAAATATCTCTGCCAGGAGGAATGAAGGTTGAGAAACACCTTAGGGAGAACTTTTCCTGAGCACCATGGCTGGCAGGAAGTGATGTAAAATCAGGATGGTTCAGTAACCAGCTCTGTTCTTTGCATTTTTATTCGTTGAGATGCTTTTCTTCTAAGCTTGTAATAAAGCCTCCACACCCCAATGCTTTGGGTGAAGGGTGCATGGCTCCAGAAACGTAGAGAGTTTTGTCTGGACATTATCCTTTACATTTGAAGAATGTTGGAGGCTTATGCAAATGTCACTGAAATATCAGGTATTTCGATGCTGCGACAGTTTCCAGGCTCCTTGGGAGCTTCCCTGGTGAAATCTGTAACTGGTCCCCTTACGTGGAGGGCAGGGAGTCGGGGAGGGACGGACGGGAGAGGCAAGGGCTCCAGAGGGGCAGCTGGCGGGCTCAGCATACCGGGACCCTACTCACCGTGCGTGCGCCAGCGGCCGCAGGACCAGAAGCTCCGCACACCTGCCACCAGAACGTTCAGAGCTTTCGCGGAGGACCTCACTGGGTTCAGAACGGTTCCACGAGGCACTGTGCTCTGAGGGCAGAGACCGGAAATGGCCGTGGCTGCGGGGATGGTGGGCGGGACAAACGTTTCAGGGCCGGAAGCGGGTGAAGAGCCTCCGACGCCCCAGACACAGCGCACGGGGTCATCTCCGCGACCCTTTCACATTGTAAGGTGTCTCATGAGTCACACAGGGACAAACTAACTAAATGGAATAATCACTTAATGGTTAATTTATCTCCTTTATTTATTTGATAAACAAGTTTTCCATTAGTAATAGAAGAAAAAGGGGAAAAGAACACTTCATATTCTAAATATGAGCCAAACCACATCTGCCCACCCCTAGCGGGACACATCCCAAAACCAAATCAGCATTTCTGACATCATGCTGAGTTACTGCTCGCACAGTAGAGCTCCTCTCCCCTGCAGAGGGTAATTCCTTGCTGTGATCCTAATTGAGGTTAGCAAGATGATAATTCACGAAGTGATTGTTGGCCTCATAAGCTGTTTGTAGTTTCTATGAAACCTGGACGATTTAGGGGCACATATTCCACTCAGCTGTCTGGGGGGCATCTTCTGGTTGTTTGTACGCAAATGTACAATTGCAAACAAATAGATCCCTCTTACCTGGAAATGAAAGAACAATACAGGGTCTGAGTCTACCCTGCATTGGCATAGTTAGGAAACGTGTCCTGTTAATAATGGAGTATTAGATGCTCTCCTGATGAGCAATTAACTCAGAAGATAAACTCTCCATGCCCCTGCTCCTACGTGTTCTGTAAAAGGGTTTCTGAGGGAAGAGCACTCCTCACCCAACTGAACTGTAACCTCAGCAGCCCAGTGTCTTGTCCTAGCAGAGCTGATGGGGTCTGGAGATGGCTTTGCTGTGGCAGGGCTGGGCCTCTTGGTGGCATTCAGCAAGTGAGACTGATAGCCATGCCCAGCGGCCTGACCATCACCGTCTTCTACCGGGCTTTCCTTTCTGAAGCTTCTCTCACTTCCTGGGCTCACAGAAATCAATTCCATAGAAGTCCACACAATATGGATTTTGTTTTTTCGATTTTGTATTAGTTTCTAGTTATATTTACTTTCCTCTGAGTCTTATTATGAGGCACAGAGATCAAGAATCCCTTCCTTTCATATCTCTTCTTCTGGTTTCTTCTCTCTCTCATTACCCCCCGCCAACAGGGACCCTTCAGGATGAGATATGCACCCATGACAAGGTGAGCCAAAGGCATGATCCTTACTACTCAGAGATTATTTTTTCCACAAACCTCAAAATAATCCCCTTGCAAGTTCAGCTCAACTATGTTCAGTTTTTAATATTCTTGGGCTAGAGGCAGACCTAAGGGGCCTAAAATAAAAGAAGTATAGTAATTTCTTTTTTCCTTTTTATTAGTCTGAAATCCAAGTATTTTACCTTTTCAATAAGGAAACATAGTGAATTCAAAGAAAAGCTCATTAAAATTAAAAGATGTAAAATAAAGTTTCTACTTAAGGCCAAAGCCAGGCTTATCCTAGGCCTTCTTAGGATGGAATCTGCAGGAATGGCCCTAAGTGTTTCTTAAGGCATCTCCTCTGGATCACATATTATCTGAATTACTCTGAAGAAACCTAATGGTGCTTTTTCCCCATCCCTTGCAAACAAGCAGCATTTCTAATTGATGGTGGAGAAAAAAGGGAGGAAATAAAGTGCAGAGGAGCACGAGGCTTTCAGGAGGATCACTCCCCTGCCCCTTGTCCTTTCTCCTATTGTTCTAGTGGGCTTCACACTTAGGGCTGTGATCATATGGCTGTATTCCTCTCTCTCCCTGGGGTGAGAATCAATGAGAGTTTTCCTTATATTCATAGAGCAGTTCCCAAGCCTTGCTTTTGCATCTATATAGTCGTTTAAAACTAAACTCAAAAGGCATAATCAATTATGATGATAATTATTATTTGATGTTGCAATATAGAGCTTCTTCTATAAATCAGAAAGGTCATTATTTAAATTGGCAGAAGATCATACTCTGACTCTATCAACAAATGACTCAATTATTTTCCATTTAAGGTCATGCTGAGTTACGTGATTCAATCATGCCCTAAAATAATTTATTTAGTAGACAAGGACACATATATTATGAGTCTCTTACTGTACTTCTGTGCATTTTTGGAAAACTGAATCCCAAATTCTTACTTTATCTCCATTGAGAAATAGGCCTCTTCCTCTTGCACCTGACACTTCTCCTTGATATTTCCTCAGGAAAGCTTTGCACAGAAAGAAAACATCTAGACAACCATATGCTCTGCTGCAGTGAGGTCTCTACTTTAGTTTCTCCAGTCAGTAGGTCAGTCTCCATAGGGCATCTCCCTTAATTTAGTCAAGAAGTAACCCAAAATTAATGAAAATCAGTCCAAGGGAATTCTTATTGTCTGCTACTTCCCTGGAATCAAAGAAAGAGTATGTAAGGAAAATCAATCCAACAGGAGGTCCAGAAGAATCATTGTCTAGTGTCTAAATCATAAATTCTATATTCTGCCTATCCCAGGACTTTTTGGAGCTAGATCGCTAGAGGGCCATAATTTCTGATATCTCCTATTAGAGTGTATAAGAAAAGTAAAGTCCCAGGGAGGGAAGAGAGAGAAAAATAGTGTACTTAGTACAATGTCAAAAAAAAATGTTGTGGTTCAGCTGTTGAATATTGTTTTCCTATGGATGGGCAGATAAATGAAGCAGAGAGAAATCTGGAGTTTCTTCTAGATATTAACCTCTACCAGATTTCCTGGGTCATATTTGTTCCTGTACCTTCTTTTTTTTTTTCTTTTTCTCAGTGCTTATTTGTTTAGTATAGGTAACTGTTCATATGTCTCATGGAAAGTTCTGACAGTCTTTCACAGTTCACTTTGTAAAGTTAAAGCAACTCATGAATGTTTGAAAATAACAGTGGTGGTGAAAGCAAAGATAACTATGGTAATGTTAATTTTGATGCCAATAGACACAGTTATTGTAGTGGTTAGGGACAAATACTGGAGACAGACTAGTATTGATTGAATCTCCTCTGGATCACATATTATCTGTGTTACTCTGAACAACTTAATTTTCAACACCTCATAAGACTGTTACGAAGATTAAATGAATGTACACCAATAATTTAGAATGGAACTTGGCACTTTTAAGACTCAACATATGAATTATTATATTAGTAATAGTATTATAGAAAACAATTCCTAGCTTGATCTTCTGTAAAATTTTATCTAATCACTCAGTTGCCACCAATATTCTTTCTATAAATGCCATTGGTGTTTGTTGAATGCACTGTGCATTTTGTGTTACAAATCCTGCAATTCTACTTCCTGATCTTTACTTTTCCCCCAGGACACAGATCTATCTTATTCTTAATGATGATGAAAATGGCAGTGATGTTGATGATTCTAACACCATGGATGACAGTCTATAACTACAATAACCATCAGATTTTAAAGCCAAATGTGAAAGTCACATTTTCATCTGGTGAAACATACGGACAATGGCTCGGCGGATCTCCTTTGTCTTAACACTATAAATGAGAGGGTTTAGCACAGGAGGTACGAAGAGGTAAACATTGGACATGAGGACATGTATGTAGCGTGGAGCATGTTTTCCAAAGCGATGCACTGTGGAGACCCCAATCATTGGCACATAAAATGCAAGTACAGCCAAGATATGTGACACACATGTGTTCAGCACTTTGAAGCGTTCCTCACGGGAGGCAATGGCCATGACTGAGTGCAGAATGAGCACATAAGAGAAGAAGATAAAAAATAGGTCCATGCCAAAGGTGGATACAAGAACGAAGAGTCCATAGATGCTGTTGATAGTGATATCAGCACAGGCCAGCTTCATCATGTCTGGGTGCAGGCAGTAAGAGTGGGAAAGAACATTGGATCTGCAGAAAGGCAGCCTCTTGATGAGGAAGGGAAGAGGAAAGAGGCTGATGAAGCTCCGAGCAGTCACAGCTAAGCCCATTCCAGCAATGACTTCATTAGTGAGCACGGTGGCATAGCGCAAGGGATCACAAATGGCCACATAGCGGTCAAAGCTCATGGCCAGCAGAATCCCCGACTCCATCATAGAGAAGGAATGAATGAGAAACATCTGGACTAGGCAGGCATTAAAAGTGATGTCTCGGGCATTTAGGCAGAAGGTTCTGAGTACAATGGGCATTGTGGCCATGTACATGGCCATGTCGCTGAAGGACAGCATGGACAGGAAGTAGTACATGGGCTCATGAAGACTAGGCTCCCCTTGCACTGCCTGCAGGATCACTGTGTTGCCCACAAGGGACGCAGCATACATCACACAGAGGGGCCCTGCTAGCCAGGAATGAGAGCTCTCCAGATCAGGGATACCAGTTAGGAGGAAGGAATCAGGGTGGGTGACGTTGAACAATCCCATGGCAGGAGGAATCCCAGGTCACTTTCCAGGCTCAGACCTTTTGACTTGGAGGTTTCTGAGTTTCGCTTCCTAGAGGACAAGAAGCCAGGGAGTAAAAGGCAGTGGGAGATGTTTTTATTGCAAACTGATACATCAATGAAATCACTGGCTTGGGGAAAATGCAGGTAAACTTCTTTTCTTCATACTTTATGTTTATCAGGCTACAGGCTGGGCTAATATTTCCCTCTGTTTTGTGGAAGAAGGAAGACATTGACATGCTTCCTAAATGACAATTAGTTACACAGAAAACACTTTCGTTTTTTATCCAAAATTTTATTGTGTTTTAGAATTATCGAGTGGAAATATGTTAACTATAATCCATAGATAGTTATTATAAAAGAACACCAGGAGTTTAAGTTTTCAATAACTCATGAAAGCATTTTAATATTCCCTTGAAAATGTTGTTTAATTCAGAGATTTAATCTGATTTTTTAAATTTAATTTAATTTTATTTAAATTTAAATTAAATTAAATATTAAATTAAATTTAAATTTAATGCTGTCCCTGATTAATGACAGCATTCCCCAGAGCTCGTCTGAATTATGGCATGTGTTGGTCAGGATGGGGAAGGGGCAGTGGGAGGTGGAGGAAACTGCCTGGATAT